TATATATACTGAAAGCCATTAAAAACACAACGTTTTCAAAAAAGTTATTAAAAAGCCAAATGTGCTGTGATCGTCACGATGTTTTGATACACAAGTGAGTAGTTGTAAGTCCACACACCCATGCACGATTTTTGCTATTTCCAAGAGTACTTTTCATCACAATACAGTAAACTATACTTTAGTAAAAGGTGTTCATTAGTTGCTATATTACAAAAGAATACAAAATTATTTACATGAAAGATGACCCGTAGCTCATTCCAAACGGTAGCCTAGTGGTTAGGCTACCGGACTCGTAATCGTGAAATTGCGGTTTCGGGGGTTCGAGCCTCAGCTCGTTCCGACGTTGTGTCCTCGGGAAAGGCACTTTACACGAACTTCCCACTTGGATCGGTCCGATCGGAGACGGACATTAAATTAGGAGGTCCTGCCCCTTAAATAACCTTATAGTGTTGATAGGGGCGTTAAACCCATACCATTTCATTCCAAACAAAAGTCCTAGCTTTTTTTTCGATCAATTTAAATTTCTTTCATTTCAAGACTCGTCAACTTGGCGAAGCTGATTGCAACTTTCGCTTTCGCCTTGTTCGTGGCGGAAAATCTGCCTGAGAAGAAGCAATACGGTTAAAATGCAGTGCTGGTATTGTTCTTGACTTATACAAAGATTTTAATACACTTGAAATGTCCGGGATGGGCAAAGAATGGGACAGTCTCGAGTGACCAGCCGTGTTCAAGAGAGGCAGATTTTGCTGTCGCACCTGCGATATAGTTTCGTTTCTCAAAAGTAGCAGCTAAAGGCATGCATGGGGTGCGTGAAAATATTTCTTTCATCAGTGTGAGGCGCGGAGCAGTAAGTACAGGACTTAGATCTAGAACGCCATGTTTAGGACTGCAATTAACGAAGCCGCAACAACAGTGCCGTCTTCACGGTGCCAAACAGCATAAAGAAAAAATCAGAATCTCTCAGTCATCCAACACGACACTCCTGCCCTTACACTGCCCATTTAGCAAACAGCACAGTTTCTGGAAGATCAAAACATGAATGTCATTGACTGGCCAGTGTCCGTATCCGACATGTCTCCCAACAGCGCATGTATGGTATGAACTGAACCGCCAAGTGTGTGCCGATTTGCGAATCTGCAGCTTTTGGAAGATCGCGCTGCCGCGAAAGTGGGACAGAATTTCCTAACAAAACATTGAAAATGTTATAAAATCCATGCGAAGAAGTGCTTTGGTCTGTTTAAATGTTAATGAAGGCCTTACAATTTACAAAGGGAAAGAGATCTTTATTGAGCTTCAATTTGTGCTATCTGCAAATTTGTCTTAAGGGGGTACGCCGAGAGAAGGAGGACAAAGTATTGAAATCGTTTACGTTTGTGATCAAAATGTTTCACATTTGTTGGAAATTGAACAAACACTTCTTTTAATCTATATTCAGTTGATACAAACGTGTTCAGACTATGCGAACGAAGTGTTGCGTTTTTAATGGCTTTCAGTATATATAATGAACTTTAGAGCAAGACTCAGCCTATTGAATAGTTTTGTATTGAGTCATTATGTTACCTGAGATATAACGAAAAACCCAAAATTCATTTATATCCTAGATAAAAATACACATTTCAAATGAAATGAAACCGATAATGGCAATTAAAAAATACAACTCCC